GCTCAACGATCTGGGCTTAATCAAATTCCAAATCGTAGGTTTACACTTTGGTGGTCACCGACCATAAATAGGGCAAATGTCTATGTTGGTTTCCAAGTACAGCTGGATCTGACTGGGATATTTATGCACGGGAAGATTCCAACTCTGAAGATATCTTTAATACAGATATTCCGTGCACATTTGTGGCAGAAGATCCATGAGAGTGTCGTCATGGATCTCTGCCAAGTTTTGGATCAAGAGTTGGATGCATTGGAAATTGAAACTGTACAGAAGGAAACGATTCATCCAAGAAAGAGTTACAAAATGAATAGCTCGTGTGCTGACATCCTCCTCTTTGCTGCGCATAGATGGCCAATGTCAAAACCTAGTCTTGTGGCTGAATCAAAGGATGTGTTTGACCAGAAAGCTAGTAACAAATACTGGATAGATGTGCAGCTTCGGTGGGGTGACTACGATTCTCATGATATTGAGCGTTATACACGAGCAAAGTTCATGGATTACACAACAGACAACATGTCTATTTATCCATCGCCTACTGGTATGTCACATGTGCATCTGTTGATCAATCAAATTCATTCCCTTTGTCAGACAAGTTTTATTTACTTGTTTCTTTTTTCAGGTGTTATGATTGGACTGGACCTTGCTTACAACTTGCATTCCGCCTTTGGAAACTGGTTTCCTGGTTCAAAACCATTGCTTGCCCAAGCCATGAACAAGATTATGAAGGTATCTCTCCTTTTCTAATCATCCATTATTTTCGTAATCTGGTGCATGCACAGTATGTGTTACGGCTGAAAGTTTCTTAACATCCTTGTGTTCCATTATGCAGTCAAATCCTGCGCTCTATGTGCTGAGGGAACGCATAAGGAAAGGGTTGCAACTGTATTCTTCAGAGCCCACAGAACCATATTTATCATCTCAGAACTATGGAGAGATATTCAGCAATCAAATCATCTGGTTTGTTGATGACACAAATGTGTACCGTGTGACCATCCACAAGACCTTTGAGGGAAATCTGACAACAAAGCCAATAAATGGTGCAATTTTCATTTTCAATCCCAGGACAGGTCAACTGTTTTTGAAGGCAAGTACAGTTCGACTATAATTTTCTCATGAACTCTTTGGGAGAACTCCATTGTCCAGTAGCTAATGTGTGTCCTGTTCTTTTCATTTACAGGTCATTCACACAAGTGTGTGGGCAGGGCAAAAGCGTCTTGGCCAACTGGCAAAGTGGAAAACAGCTGAAGAAGTGGCTGCGCTTGTTAGGTCTTTGCCTGTTGAAGAACAACCAAAGCAAATTATTGTGACTCGGAAGGGAATGCTTGATCCATTGGAGGTCCACTTGCTTGATTTTCCAAATATTGTTATCAAAGGAAGTGAGCTGCAATTACCATTCCAGGCTTGTTTGAAGATAGAGAAATTTGGTGATCTGATACTGAAGGCTACAGAGCCACAAATGGTTCTGTTCAACATATATGATGATTGGTTGAAGAGTATCTCATCTTATACAGCATTCTCCAGGCTCATCCTCATTCTGCGTGCGCTCCATGTGAACAATGAGAAGGCTAAGATGTTACTCAAGCCTGACAAGTCTGTCATTACTGAGCCTCACCACATCTGGCCTTCACTTACAGATGACCAGTGGATGAAGGTATACTTAAGTCGATGTACCTATGCTTCATCCGGTATTTGCCATACCTTGATATTGTGAAAGGAACTTTTGTCAGTGGCTTTATGAGCGCTCTTCATAAGGAGAATATCTTTTTGTCTTGTTTGGTAACACACCTGTGAGGTTGTGGATTTTGATTTGGTTGACGTATTTCTAATTCTGGATTGTTGTGCATGGTTTCAGGTTGAGGTAGCACTTCGAGATCTCATTCTCTCAGACTATGCAAAAAAGAACAATGTGAACACATCAGCATTGACAGTGTCTGAGATCCGTGATATTATACTTGGAGCTGAGATAACTCCTCCATCACAGCAGCGCCAACAGATAGCTGAGATTGAGAAACAGGTAATGGTCCTGGAACTTCTAGTACTTGGCGAAGTAGTACTTTGTTTTAGATTTGCTGTTGCTGATGTGCATATCCTTTCAGGCTAAGGAAGCAAGTCAACTGACTGCTGTTACCACAAAGACAACTAATGTCCATGGTGATGAGTTGATTGTTACTACAACAAGTCCCTATGAACAAGCTGCCTTTGGCTCTAAAACAGATTGGCGTGTCAGAGCAATTTCTGCTACAAATCTCTATCTCCGTGTGAACCACATATATGTAAATTCAGAGGACATAAAGGTGCTCATTTTCTCGCCTTCTTTTGCTCAACTAGACATACTATACTTTTTTATCACTTTTTACCTAGAATCGTTGTAGTTTCCAAAAAGAAAATATTCCACTAACATATTTCGATTTTAACTATTTGTTCAGGAGACTGGATATACTTACATCATGCCAAAAAATATTCTGAAGAAGTTCATCTGCATTGCTGATCTGCGGACACAAATTGCTGGTTACTTGTATGGTGTAAGTCCACCAGATAATCCTCAGGTGAAAGAAATCCGGTGTATTGCAATGCCTCCACAGTGGGGTACACATCAGCAGGTGCATCTACCTTCTGGTCTTCCTGAGCATGATTTTCTCACCGACTTGGAGCCGTTGGGATGGATGCATACACAACCAAATGAGCTTCCTCAGTTATCGCCACAGGTTAACTTCTAATGATCTTTGTTTTGTTTGTGTAGCTGTAATGAGTTATTCCGGGTATTAGGTTGGGTTTGTTTATTTCCTCTATGCACGGCTCTTCTGATGTGTGAATTATTCTGAATAACAGGATGTGACTTCACATGCTCGGGTCCTGGAGAACAACAAACACTGGGATGGAGAGAAGTGTATTATATTGACATGCAGTTTCACGCCAGGGTCTTGTTCATTAACTGCATATAAGTTGACGCCAACTGGGTATGAATGGGGACGTGCTAACAAGGATACAGGAAGTAACCCTCATGGTTACCTGCCAACTCATTACGAGAAGGTCCAGATGCTGTTGAGTGACCGATTCCTTGGCTTTTACATGGTAAGTATGCACAGATTATTCAGTTGGATTTTTGATTGGTGCATCAATGTTTCGTGCATGTTTGCGATGCTTTCTTCCATGTAGATCTGAATGTAAATTGATTTATTTATTTTGTGCAGATACCTGATAATGGACCTTGGAATTACAACTTCATGGGAGTGAAACACACTGTTAGCATGAAATATGGAGTGAAGTTAGGTACACCTCGTGAGTACTACAATGAGGATCACAGACCAACGCATTTCCTGGAATTCAGTAATATGGAGGAAGGTGATACTGCTGAGGCAGATCGAGAGGATACATTTACATAATAAATATACTGCTACTATTCAAATGAGTAATTTGGGGCGTCCAATCAAAATGGTTACTTTTGTGTTCCTTGTATGTTTCAGCTGTAATACGGAGTGTAGTGGCCGATGGAACAAGTTGTAAATATATGAAAATGATTTTGTAGCTTGATGCCACTGTATACTTTTTATTGGAGGATGACTCTCTGCTAGCTTTAGCTGGTATAGAACGTTACTGTTTAGCTTGCGTTGCTTGTTTGTTGTGAAACAAACAGATGCTTGTACATTAGAGTAAGTAAATTGTTTTTTGGGTATTTTGAATTTCCCTTAATCCCGCAGCTGTGGCTCTTTATCTTATTCTTCAAATTTTATTAGTACTACTTTTGTTTCTAGTACATTGATTACCTTTTTATCATCAGTGATTTTTTTTCTTTATTATTTGCATCCTAGCTTTCAAACCTGTTCATTGTTGTTGTTTACACTTGTGTTCAGCCTTGGTCGCTTGCAACTTGACTATTCCACCAAATACTTGCTAGCTCGTACCAACACATGTACCAATTAACTTTGTCCAGTATTTGTTCTCCATGGATATTTGTTCTCCAGTGCAGATGGTTACCATATTAGGAATAATGGAAAGTTGAACGAAGTAAAAGGAAACACCATTAAGTCTATAACCTTCAATAACTTCGAGATAAAGGAATAGAAACACTGAAAACGCTAATTTAAGTTTGTGAAATTGGGTATAGTAAGATAAGTGTTGCAGAGAAATCATAAAATTTTCTTATTTCACATTGTGCTACATGAAAGAAGAGTGCAAAAAAAAAAAAGGGATCCGTCTTGCTGATATCAGCCTTGTAAACATATTGTTTCATTGCCCATCAACGCAGACTGGTATTTAAAGAATATTTCACCAAAAATTTACAGCTTTGATGCAACTCCTATAATCTCTGAGGAATTTCTTAGCCGAACACCCATGGCTAGAGAGGCACCACCGCGACTTCACTTTGTCACTTCTATTAGTGTCAAGTATACTGTATGGGGATTGACTTTTCGCAGCTTGTTGCTGCAGACTCTTGTTGAACAATACAAATATATTCATCTTTAATGATCTGCTGATGCTTATGGATGATGTACTTCCATGAGTGTTGATATATGTATCTGAACAGAAAGCTAAACCGAGTGAGGCTCTGATACTTTTCTTTATCTATATAATAAAAAAAAGACAAACATTTTGAATGAACAAAACAAAGCGAACGAGGCAAGGATATCAGGTAATGGCAACAACCACAAAGTAGTAGCAGCATAGAACATAAACATTTTTTGTTTTATAGTTGTGGTGTCCGGGCCAACTTGCACGCAACTCGACTAATTGCATGGCATATCTATCACCTCCCACTTAGCAACAGGTATCAAGTAACAGATGGGAAGAAATCATCTACTGTTTTTTGTTTATGTTTATGCTCTAAAAGCGTAAACATAAATCTTAATCAACAGAAACTCATCCTACCACAAAATTGCCAAACAGAAAAGTGCACTTTACTTTAGGTTAAGTGAATTCACCAGAAAAGATTTTCTTTGACAAAAAACATATCGGCTTTTTAGATGCTGGAAGAAGTCATGTGATGGCAAAAACATGAGAATAGAAGTGAGTATATGAAATTAGAGAGTATAGCTGCTCGTAGATAAATAGATACAGACACTGTACCAGAACAACTAGCATTCAAAGAACCACTTATTCCGTCACATTACACGATACATAAACTTACGAAAGTGATTTTTTGAGACATAATATGACCTGGAAAAGTAGCGTATGCTAAGAGTTTACTTGTAGCTCAAAATTGATACACAGAAAAGAATAAATCCCAAAAGCGAAATGACATTTCATTCACACGTCAAAGAAATTCTCCATATGCATAAGATCGTAGAATCTCAAATACGGGATGCAGGTAAAGAGCAACTGCATCTCCATAGAGAAAACTGATTTTAACAAGATACCTTTTAATCGTTCTAACAAATTCATACCTGAACCTGAAAGGCCAAGAATTAAGAGTTCTCTACGCAGTTTTAGAGGCAAATTTCTGTCATTGAACCAATCCAATTGTTTACTTATTCAATGAGACTTGAGTTAATTTGGAAGCTCACCCAACCTATTTTAATTTAAATTCAGTAGGATCAAATTGTGAAACCTATGCTTAAAGAATTAGAGTTACAAAATCAGCCACAAAGGTCAAAGAATATAAACTTTCTTATGCACCTTAAAGAGGAAAATTTCAGTCAGTGGGGATCAAAATGCCAAATCCATCCCTAAAGAATGAGGGCAACAAACTCAGCTGTTACCAAAGCATAGGGTGATTGCAGTCACAAAACTCGACCTGTCAGACTAAATATATAAACTCTTAGATAAATATCCAGATCAACAGCTAGATAACCAAACCATCCGATTACATCATGAAGGAAGACACAACAACATTCATCTCCGAGGATCAAGTTTTAAAAGACCAAAAATAGTTTGAAAGAAGCAGATTGAAAAGATAAGTCCACACCTTTGTTAGTTCAGTAAAATCTGTCATTTCAGAAATCCTTCGTACATGCCGAGCTTAATGTTCGCAATAGTGCTGAAGCAGTGGGAACAGATCTGCCTTTCCTATGCTGAATCAAGGAGGATAATTTCTTCATCCCATCCACAGCCTAAAGTTCCAAGCACATTCACGATTTCCTCAATCCTTGAGTTCGCAAAATTGCCAATTGTGAACTTCTCAACAGATCCCTTCACTTCAATGAGACTATGACCCGCCTCCTTCTTTAAACCACAACTCTTCAGCATTTTTCTTGCCTCTGCTACACTATTCCACTTCTCGTCTGAAGCATATAAGTTTGATAACAAAACATAAGGCGAAGTAGAAACTGGCTGAAGCTGTAGGAGCTTCTTAGCCATTCTTTCCCCAATTACAACATCACCATGCAGCCGACAAGCTGAAAGTAAGCAACCTAAAACAACTGAATCATGCCCAAAGGGGTACCTTTGCATGTATTCTTCAGCATCTTTCAGTCTCCCAGCTCGTCCTAGTAAATCAATGAGGCAAGAGAAATGTTCAATGTCGGGAGTAACCCCATAAATCTCGTTCATGGTATTGAAGTAATATAGGCCCTCATCTACAAGCCCTGCATGATTGCAAGCGACTAGAAGTCCGAGAAATGTGACAGAATCAGGCTTTAAACCAACACTCTTCATCTCCTCGAATAATTTTATAACTTTTTTTCCGTGGCCATGGTTAGCAAATCCAGCAATGACACTATTCCATGAGACAAGGTTACGAGAAATCATTAGCCTAAAAGTTGTATATGCATACTGGATACAGCCACATTTAGCATACATGTTCACAAGGGCATTGACAACACCAATATCTACACTTGAGCTTTTTCTAATAAGATGAGCATGTATTTGCTGCCCAAATTGCATCGAACCCATGCCAGCACATGCAGAAAGCAGACTAGCATAAGTAAACTCATCAGGCCCTCCATCAAAATATTCGACCATCTCTCTAAAAACAACCAAGGCCTTAGAATGATCATCACAACGAGAACAAGCAGCAATGAGAGTATTCCATGAAATGACATCTTTCTCTTTGATTGATCTGAAAATTTTGTCAGCTTCATTTAACAAGTTCAAATTTGAGTACATTGTCATTATTATATTGCCTATAAAGGCGGTCCCATCAAGTTTGAGCTTGATTGTTTGGCTATGCAATTGCATTCCTTTCCCCAAATCATGTGCAGTATCGCAGGTTCCTAATAAGCCAACAAAGGTAAAGCGGTCCGGAACCAACCCTTGTTGGCACATACTTTTGTAGACTTCAAATGCTTTCTCTCTTTGATTACTTTCTACCAAACCCATTATGATTGTGTTGTAGGAGACATCAGTAAGAGTGGGTGTCAATGCAAAAACTGATAGAGCGTCACTACATTGACCATTTTTCATGTACATTGAGATCAGAGAGTTGGACACAAACGAAATGGATGAACAGCCTAATTTGATAGACTGGGAATGTATTTGCCTACCAAGTTTCAAGGCCAAGAGGTTAGCACATGAACTAAGAGCACTAGCAAGGACAAATTCATTGGGCTCTAGTGGCATTTGGGAGTAGAGGCTGATAGCCATGAGGTGTTTCCCATCTTGATCATAACCAGCGATCATGGCTGACCAGGTAACGAGATTTCTTTTGGACATCTCATTAAAAATCTGACTGGCAAAGTTAATATTTCCACACTTGGCATACATGTTGAGGATGTGATTAGATATAAGAACATCACCTGGTAAGCCTGACTTGATTGCAGCTGCATGAAGAGAGAGTCCATAATGGAATGCCTTGGTCTTAGAACAATGATGCAATAGTGAACCAAGAATTTCTGGTACCATTTACCACACACGAAGGGAAGTTCTCATGTACTAGTACATCTCTTATATAAAAAAGGTCTTCACTCAAGCAAATAAACCTGCATGAAAGGTTCAGCAAATAAGGGCAGAGGACAAAAACAAAACCGTTGATAATTATAATTATAACTAATTCAAATTAAGTACAAGTTTTTCTTTCATCGTCAGGTCAATAACAAAGAAGTTTCACATATATGCAAATATTACAAAAACATCCGTCACATAAAATAACATCATATTTTATCTAGCAAAACCACTTACTCGCTCCTTCTGTGTAACCTACTCATATTCTTTCTCTATATTGTTCTCAAAATTAGCTTCACATTGGCATTAACTCCAAAACTAGTCCTGTTTTCCCCTTTATCTTCGCCAAACAACATCACTAAACTCCAAAAAGAAAATAATAACATAAAGAACAAAGAGAAAAGCAAAAGACAGCCTAGTAAATAAGGAAAGACAAAAGGAGAGGTACACGGAGAAGTGGAAAATGTTGCAAATCAGAGTCATTTCAACTTTATGAAGTTTACAACAACTAAGAGGTTTATTAAAAAGAAGTGCTCTTTACCACATGAATGTCATTTTCTCACCTGGCAAATCAAACTTCAAATCACAACTCCTAAAACTTTCTTGTTACTTTTTAAGATCTGAAAAATCGCATCTTGTAGCTTCTACATTTATATAAACAACAATTTAACCAAAAAAGCAAAAGCAAATCAATCATCTTACTATTTCATTCAAGACGAGTAGCCAAACCAAACAACACAAGTTCTTTGAAACAGTGAACTTATGCAACTTGACAAAGTAACTGTATAAAATGCACAAGCAATATATACGTAGCTCTTTAACATAACATATAGATAAGTTAACTGCACTTCATCTTCATAAACATACAAGTTGTGTGGTCATTATTAAATTACCTACGAAGTAAGGTGGAACAAGAACTCAACTTGGGTCATTATTGAATTTCTTCCTCTTGTTCTTTTTCCCATAAGCTACAATGCAACCAAGTTTGATAACCAAAAAACCTAATCTTGGATCATCATCTCACGCACAGAAATTTGGAATTTTCTTTTTGCTAATGTTTGTATACTTTATTTCTCTCCCTTGTTTCCATTCCCCTTTTAATTCTTAAAATAAAAAATATGAGAGGTTTCCTCTAAACATTCGAAAATCAGATCTGCAAATAGCGAGGATATATATATACATATCCAACTTTCGCACATGTGGACTAATTTCATGGGATACCTGTCACCTCCCACCAGCGACAAGTACCAGATAACTCTGTCCAACAAAGCTAGGACAAATGAGAAGAAATCAGCGTGTTTTTTTGTCTCTGCTGGACTATGAACCTAACATGATTCTCAACTCACTTCATTGACCACTACGCCACACCCTTGGCTGCAAATCCTCCATTATACTATCTGATCACCTTTACTGAACTTATCAAATATATCCCCAATTAACATTTTCCCCCAATTTCAACAGAATCTACCCATTTCGAACTGAATGAAATGGTGACGTGATTAACAAAATCAAAACACTAACACAAAAAAATATAAAATGTGTAGATATAATAACACTCTTCATTCAACAATTTTCCTATTTCAGTTAAAAATTGGTCGAATTGAGTCTGAAACAGAGCAGGAACAAAAATTAATGGAGGAAAAATTCGAAGTAGTATATGAAATACCTCTTCTGGTGAAGCCTATCAGCAATTTATAAGCTGATTGATAAGACTCTGCTCTTCTTCAACTTCCGCCAATGGCTATGCAATTCAACAATTGAAATTGCCGCTGGTATTTCAACTTCCGTCAATGGCTATGAAATTGCCGCCGGTATTTAGTAATCGGTAAAGTTGGACAATAAAGTTAATAATAATTTAATAAAGTAAAAAACGGAAATTTCACAAATAGCCACTAAAATAAACATAATTAGGCTATAATTATAGTTTGTTAATTATGATTCGTAGCTACATGTTAGAGTGAGGAGGGAGGCTAGCGAGACTGGGAGAGGGATGAGAGAGGCATGTGAGAGAGTGGGGAGAGGCTAATTGTGTGTATATATATGTCGAATTTTATATGTATATTTGTCAAATAATTGTATATAACTGATATACATATGTATTTGCAAATCTGGGTGAGCGAGATTGGGAGAGGGAGGATAGAGGTGAGCGAGAGATGATAGAAAGTGGAGAAGAGAGACGAATTGTATTTATATATCTATCATATAATTTATATGTATATGTATAATTTGGATTTGTATATGTATAAGAGAGAAGAGAGGGGAAGAGAGGAGAGAGGTGTACGTAATTAATAGCTTAAATTAAGTTGTGAGTGATAATTAATGGAATTTGTAGTTATGTTAGTTAATTAATTAGTATATGTTTGATTATCCACGTAATTTCTCCAAGACTATATTTAGCCCTTTTTCTTAAATGAAAAAAAAAAATCATCCACAAAATTTAAGTTAATTACTTTTGTCTATTTATTTACTTTTATATCTTTATGGTATATATTATATACTAATAAAGGATTAGTTCATTCCATCATATATAAATAAGTTCATTTCTCCCTAGATATATATCATCTACTAATATGGTATAATAAAAAACTTTATTTATTCCTTAAAATATCACTCATTAGTCCTTTTATGATATGTACATTATATATATATATA